AAGGCCGAAAACCTTTGATCCATTAATGTCCACATCCTCTGTTTCTTTTGTCAAAGATGGAGGTCAAGTATTTGTGGATCAGTTTGGGGTTCATATGTAAGACTTTTATGATGGATGGATTGCATTAACAAGTTTTGATAATATCACATCTAGCTTATTTTCTTATTTCCTTTTTCCTTTTTCTTTTGGTTCATTTTATTTCCTCTCGGCTGAGAGGACAGTCAAAAACAATTTCTTTTCTTCTTCTTTCAGCATTGAAGGTAAAGTTTGGTTAACTGGAATTAAGAAGGGTGTTCTAGTATAATAAAAACAATGAACTGATGACAAGGATGAGACAATGGAATGCAGCAAAAATTTCCAGGACTTTCTGCTTCCAGCAAATTACATCTATCAGACAACATAATATATCTGTTGACGCATTTTCCCTTTCTCCTTACTCTTCTCTGTGTAAAATATTGAGGGTGCCCAACTCTAGTTTTATCTCACTCCACATAAAAGATCAAGATCCTAACGATCAACATATACTTAGAACTGCAACCGTCAAGGACCCTACAGGCCTGATCAGCATAAACATGATAAAAGTATCCAGGGAGAAGCTTTAAAAAAAAATACGAGCTTAAAGACACAATCAGTAATACAAAACACATGAATGAACGATGAGAGAAATGAGGTGTCGGTGTCGACAATAAGAGGACTGCACAAGTCTTTTCGTTCTTCATGGACAGGATATGGTTGCCAGGAGAAGTAAGCAAACGAGAAAAAAAGGGGATAGGCATTAAAAATATGCAACTTTTTCTTAAGACGGCCTTGATGCAAGTTCTAGTTGGGATCAATTTTCTTTTGTTTGGTTAGTTTCAGATTTCATGTCTTCGAGAATGAACAGAAGGTCGAACTGTATGAATTGTGACCAATATCGTGCTTGACTAATGCTTAATGCATAAATTGATTTTGAGGTGTGTTTACAAAGGAATAAAGGGGACTAATTGTGATTCTTAATCCACTGAATGTCTTAGTGATTATGATTACCAAAGGGTGCCAATTTCCATAAGAGGTGTGGCAAAGATTCTGCTGATGCTAACATGTGTCTGGTATAGAGTATTGATTCCGTGTGACCTCCAAGGATGTATCGTGTATCGAAACCTTGCAGTGTATTTGGTTTGTGGTTGAGTATTTATGAGTTGCATAGATTAGACAGGGAAAAAAATGGCATCCTTTAAAGCTAATAAAAATAGTCTTAACTTAATGTTTTCCTTGAAATAGTATCACATTGCTGGGTGCCTTAATGTGCGTCAAAGCCAACAGTCACGTGATGAATGTGAACTCTACCATCTCCTCCATTACCAAAATTTATGATTAATTGAAATGTTGCTTACCTTATAGTAACTCCTGAGACTTAAAAGAAGTCAAGTTGAATATGAAAGAGTCGTAAGAAGAAAAGCAAACGAAAATGTGAGCAGCTTGACGATGTTCATAAAAAAGGATAGTTCCGTGTTTGTTTGTGTAAAAGAACTTGCTAAATACGATTAACAGAAGCAAACATTTGTCAATACTTTGTTTAGTAACCAATGGCACTCTTTAGTGATAACAGCTTTTGTGAAAGTCCTCAAGAAATTTTTTGTTTTAGATAATGGCATTAGATTAGGTGGACAGATTAATTTAGCTTCAATGCATTAATGATGCACACATTATTGTACAATCCATGGTTTTAGAATCACCTTTACAGTGCAGTGCAGTTTCTTTGCAGGCATATGGAGCACTACTTAACGTAAGCAGAAACTTTAATTGACTTTTATTGTAAAGAAACTTGAGTGAAGAGAGCAATTAACATCAATGACAAATGATGAAAAAGACAGAAAACAATTTCCACCAGGTTATATACTTTTAAAGAGGTAATATAAAATTAGGCAACTACTGGTTGAATGAAATATCTCAAATAGTATGACCACAGTTCCTCCATTGGGAAGCGCTGAACAATTCATCAGAAAGTTTGACAACTGATACAGTTAATGGAGAACTAGGTCCAGACTGGAGCTAAATCACCAAGAATTTTAGCACAATCATCTCGAAGTTTTATCTGGGAAAGAAAATAATGAAGAGTTGTACATGGTTTGTTTATTTTCTTCTTCTTGTGTGTGTGTGTGAGGGTGGGGAGTCGAGTTGGATTTCAGGAATGGTTTTATTGAGATCGATATCGCCTAACTTATATCCGAAATGATATCATCCAGAGACAAAAGCATAGACATACATGCGAAGAGATAATAGCTCATCACAGAATTGATGAGCTTGACTGGGGAATGGGCTTACTCTAAATTGGCTAGACACAAATTGAGGATTCTGTTACTAACCAGCAGCAAGTAGAGAAAATACGTAATACTTCAATTTACATTGGAGTATTAGCAAATTGCTGTGCAACTCATTGCAACATTGCACAAAGTTTCCCATGACACAATTGGGTGTTATCAAGGAAAACAATCCAGCAAACCAAGTGAAAGACAAGTGATACTTCATTACCATTAAGGATGGAAAGCTAAAGTGAAAGTATCCAACCATAAATCAACAGTAACCTAAACTAAATCAAGATAGTATACTTTATAACAGTTACAACTGCACTGCAATAAACTTCTCTAAAATGATCAAGCAAAGCTAGACAAAGGGAGAGAACAATGATTATTTATTAACTCACAAAAACTAAAAGGTTCCGTTGTGTCTTCCCGGGACTATTTTCTTCTAGGAATTCTTCGGTCTATGTTTACTTCATCCCACGCAAGAGGGTTGCTGCTTTACGAGCAAAGTAAGTAAGAATGATATTTGCGCCAGCTCGTCTGATGCATAACAGTGACTCCATCATGACCTTTTCTTCCTCGATCATTTTAAGTTTTCCAGCAGCTTTTATCATAGAGTACTCACCGGAAACCTTAATCAAACAAGAAAAAACCAAACAAATTAAAATAAAGAAAAAGCATGTTAATAACATGCATAATTAATTACTTTGTGCAAGCAACAGAAATTATCTGCTAGTTAAGACTGTCATTCAGCAGCACGTAAATGTTATTTAAGTAGAAATCTAGAAGTTTGTAAGAATCAAACTGTTATCATTTTTCCATTTTTTTAATATGATGAAAAATGAATACTTCAACGTAATTGGCTGTAGCACACGCTTGGTCAAGATGTGCGTACAGACTTCTGATTAAGTGAAGAAATGGTTGAAGTAATGAAATGTTCCAACCAAACTTTGTAGTGCCCACGGGAGATTTATAACTTCTATAGGGTGTTTTTCAATCTATATAGAACTTTATAATATAAGATAAAACATTTATTCCTCCTTTCGAAAGTATTCTTTTATTTCTACAACATGGTGCTTGGTGTAGAGGCTGCTTGTAGTATGTAACAGATCTTCAGTTTTTTTTCCCTTATGATACCAGTCAATGCAATAATACTAGGTCACTGGTTCAGTTATATCTACCTTATTAGAATTCTCCCTCATCCATGTAATATATAGTTGCCTCTAGTCTTTGAAGGTACAATTTTATTTGAAACATCTAAGAAAATATTAAGATGGAAATTAAGCAAATAACCCCAATTTGTGGTGGAATAAAATAACAAATATAAAGCATATCCATGTTCATCACTCCACTCTGCTCCACACAAATGAATCTTTACGAACTGAAACATTATTAAAGAACAGAAAAGACAGATGCAAAGAAAAACACCTGAAATGATAACTTATTATTGCTATTGGTCCATTACTTACAAAAAAATACTTCTCTTCTCTTTCTGAGAGTAATGGATTATCAGACACTTCTTAATTCAAATTTATGACACATGAGAATTCTGATATGTACAGAGGAGATTAATGAAAGGATCTTTAAGTGACACAAAATCACGGTTTTACCTGATATGCAGCAACTGGTAAAGATGAACTATCTCGAAGTAGCCGTATAACATCCAGATAAGGCATTGCCGGTTTCACCTGCAAGCAGTGCATGTTATTAAGAAGGTTCAAATCCGAGGGCTCTAGTTTAATGCAAAGGAACTATCTAGAGATACAGATAAGATTTTGACCAGAAGAACATCAGCTCCTTCAGCCTCGTCTTCTTCCATCTCCACAAGAGCTTCTCTATAATTTGCTGGATCCATCTGGTAACTTTATCCAACAAGTTGCAGAAATACTTAGTCTAATATAACAAGATGAATGATTGAAAAATAAAAAAGTCATAGTTGGTATTATAGAAATGCATACGTTTTCTTGTCCCCAAAGCGTGGATTTGAATCTAAAGCTTCTCTAAACGGACCATAAAATGAACTGGCATACCTGTTCATGTAATGAGATTCGTACATAATGTTGGGAATTTAACGCCGAAATCCCTAATGCAACGGAAACGCAGAATAGAGAACAGTACACAAGATTTACGAGGTTCGGCAACTGCCTACGTCCTCGGGAGCCACACAGTCAATTTCTTATTTAATCTAACAAGAAATTACAAATCAAGAGCAAATCTCTAAACTGAGATTCCTCAAATGAACACTGTAGCTACAGTGTTAATACCCACTATAAAATCCCCTTTTCTCTTTTCTCTCTCTTCTTAAATCCTTTCTTTATCTCCCCTCAAAACTGTTGAGAGCTGGAGATCAAAAGGGAAAATCGCTGCTGCAATTTTAGGAGATGAACGCTGCTGCGTTAAAGGGGGATCTGCCGCCAGAGAAAAGTCGGGGAGGAGGAGCAAAGCACCCTAGGGCATCAAAGGGGCTTTTTATAGCCGAAACATTGATGGGCTGGCGACAGCCTGTCGCCAGCGCACGAACGGACGCGAGGGTCGGAGGCCAGAAACGCGAGCGTGGGCGCTGAACGCGGAGGTCGGAGCTCTGAACGCGGGGGTCGGACCGCCAAGCACCGAGGGTCGCGTTCGCCAACCGAGGGTCGCGTTCGCCCAAAGCCACCATCGCGTTTGCCAATCGAGCTCAACTGCTCGAGTTCGTCTGCGTCTTCCTGGAGCTCGTCGGAGCTCCTCCGCCGTCGTAGGTTGGTATCCACCCCCAACCTAACACATAATCATTCAGATTTTGATTACAATATAGGAACTTGAAAATCTGTTAAAAAGGAGGAAGTTTTGTATATACTTTGCAGTGTATTACATGATCAAAACATTCTCAAAACCTTCCGCATCAAGAGCTGCTCTAATTGCTCCAACTCGGCCATCCATCATATCACTAGGGCTGACAACATCAGCACCAGCCCGGGCCTATTGAAGAACATATGAATTAACTAGAAGCTTTTAGGGTGAGGAAATCTTAACTACAACTTTATGTTTGAGATTTTCATTAGTACCTGAGAAACAGCCTGTTTACACAACTGATGAACTGTTTCATCATTCATGATAACTCCTGTTAAAAAGCCACATAACTAGATTAAATTGGCATAACCTTCAGATCCTCATAATTGACTGCAACCCCATTCAACAAAATAAGCTAACAAGAGATAGTGGTGAGGACTGGCAGAAAGGGTCTTGCTAGTAGATTATCTCTAGACAGCTCATTTAACAAAATCAGTTTTATCCTCATACGTAACATATACATAGATATATAAATATATCTGATCAATAATTACCAGAAATGTAGTACTGCCATTAATTTTCCAACAAATTGGCCTAAAAAAGTTACAAACCTATTCATTAAATCAAATATGCTCAAATATATTTATTGCCTCCTGCACGGCCTATATTAAGACAGAGATCACTAATGCTTGAGTCACGAATCCTTTGATTCTCATTAAAAATCACAAAGACGCTCAGATGCAAGTTTCAAAAAGATTTAAATGACTGCTATATCAAAAGATACAAATTGCTGGATGCAATGGGTTGCGGATTTTGATTATGGAAAGTAAACTTGATAGAGATCTGAGCTAGGACTAATCTCACTCACCATCTTCCCTAACAATCCCGTCATGCCCATCAGAGGAATAAGGATCCAATGCAACATCAGTGTAAATGACCTACAAAAGTTTGAAGCCCTAGTCAACTCCATATCGTTATAAAGAGAACCAAACCATGAATGCAGAATGAAAAATGGCTTACAATATCAGGGAATTTATCCTTAAGTAAGCGTATTGTTCGAGGGACTAGACCGTTGTCGTTGTATGCTTCATCCCCTGTTGGTGACTGAGAAGAGAATACACGATCAACACTATAGATAAACAAGATAATGAATATAACAGGTTTTAGGCAGAATCAAAGAAAAACCTTTAGTGCATCAGGAATTTTTGGGAAAAGCACAAAACTATTGACACCAACGTCCCTGGCCTTGTTAACCTGCATCAGAGGAGCACTGCATGAGTCAATATCAGGCTCAGAGAATAAATGTCAGGAAATATCACGAAGTAGATCTGAAATTTAGGAAAAATGCAAAGCGAACAAGAGAAAGGTAAATATATGTTTTGAACATTCTGGAAAAAAAAGTTGTCATTTGCAATAAAATTATTCAATGTATTACTTCCAACAAATACAGGTATTGCTCATAGCCAACATGAAGTCCATCAATTCTGGGGAAAGATTCCCCTAACTTATTTCAAAGAGTCCTCACCTCATCAAGAAGGCCATGTTTCCAACCCAGCCTAAAACATCCAGGCATAGCTTCAATTGGGGTGTCATTTTCACCTGTAATAATTAAATTTTGAGTTTTACAACAGGGAAGGAGGGGTTTTCTTTTCTATTACTCTTCATCTCTCGTAATATTACAGAAATGTAAAAAAGTATGGGTAACATCAATCTGCATTTGCTAAAACTAACCTTCATGAATAAATAGAGGAAGCACAAGGTTTGCAGGTGTGAGATGCGTCTCCTGGAAAGAAGCCCTCAATGCAGCAGATTGCCGGTTTCGACGTGGGCGCCTAGTGAGCGACTGAGGATGAACAAAAACACAACAGAAATTATTTCTCAAAGGAGAAATCAATGGAGAAAGGTTGAACCACCATAAGGAAGCAATATACAAGTTGCAAATTGGTGCTTATAATAATGGCTAGAAATACTTTTGCATTCAATTCAACAGGCTAGATAATACATACTAGTGGTTTGACATTTGGGGTTCCTTTGGGGGCAGATGGTCTCGAAAATGGTGGAGGATCAGGGAAGTTCCCAGCAACAGCATTAGCTTCACACTCCTCATTGCTTAATCCTGAGCTTTTTGATGTCTCTTGTTTATTGCTATTTGATGTCTCTTGTTCGTTGCTCTTTGATGTCTCTTGTTTATTGCTTGCTCTAATGACCGTTAGAGGTCGCGCCTTGGCAACTGGCATGGTACGCATAGATATCTGAGCCGTCATCGGCCTCAAGCCAATGTAGCTCTGGACATCATTAGGTCTAAGTAGCTGGCAATTACTGTGAGCTAATGAAACTGTTGAAGCCATAACCCACTTTAGTTGGTCAAGTTCCTTCAACCAAAGGAGTTTATCCTTCTAAGTACAGATCGATGGATGTAACTGCAAGAAAGAAAAGTTCCTTCAATATTGCGTTCACTCTGCTACGATGCAAGACACTGTTAGCTAAATCCATCAATATGCCTTCATTATTCAAATAAGTTAAGAATGGTAACCAATGTGTTTAAGCTTGGGCAAAGCACACAAAGGGAAATGGAACTTAGTCTTGGAATTAGATATCTAATTACACGAAGAAATTGTTAGGAATTTAACGCCTAAATCCCTAATGCAACAGAAACGCAGAATAGAAAAAGTACACCAAGATTTACGAGGTTCGGCAACTGCCTACGTCCTCGGGAGCCACACAGTCAATTTCTTATTTAATCTAACAAGAAATTACAAATCAAGAGCAAATCTTTAAACTGAGATTCCTCAAATGAACACTGTTGCTACAGTGTTAATACCCACAATAAAATCCCCTCTTCTCTTTTCTCTCTCTTCTTAAATCCCCCTCAACCACTGTTGAAGGCTGGGGATTAATCAGTCAAAATCGTCGCTGCGGTTTCAAAGGGAACGCTGCTGCGTTGAGGGATCCGCCGCCAGAGAAAAGTCGGGGAGAAGAAGCAGCCCAAACCCTAGGGCCTCGGCGCGGGTCAGGTCGTTCACACCGAGGGTCGCGTTCGTCGAGCGAGGGTCGCGTTCGCCCAAAGCCACCATCGCGTTCGCCGACTGAGGGTCGCGTTCGCCATCTGAGGGTCGCGTTCGCCTGCGCCATCCTGGAGCTCGTCGGAGCTCCTCCGCCGTCGGAGGTTGGTATCCACCTTCAACCTAACAATCTCCCACTTGGAGACCAAACCGACGACAACAGGCTATCCCATCAAGCTCCTCTCCTGTGTGGCTCCGCCTTCATCATCTATGTATGAAGGCCAACTGAAGTTGCACACAAATCTAGTTTCTGAAAGGTCGCTGCCTTTGTCAACATATCCGCTGGATCCTTTCTTCCTTGGATATTCTGTTGAAATCCTTTGACAACTCGTCGGGCTCTGTATCTTCTGGAACCATTCTGCTCCTTTTTCACTCGATACACCCACTTGTTGTGACGTGCCTTATTCCCCATGGGCAACTTAGCTAGTCCCCATGACTGGTTGGAGATCAGAGATTTCATCTCTTCTTTCGCAGCAAACTCCCACTTGCTCGCATCTCCACTCTGACAAGCTTCATCAAATCTTTCAGACTCTCCTCCATCTGTCAGCAACATATAATTCATATATCTGCTGTTAGGCACAGGAGGACGAGTGGTTCTCCTCAATATCGGAGCTGGTGCGTCGGGCTTCTGCGCACCAATCTGTCCAACAGTCTCTTCTGGCTGAGGACCTTCTGCATTGGGTTCTTCCGAGAGGTTATCCGGAACATCATCTGCATCTACAAATGTTGACTCGCTCTCTGAGTCACCGTCATCTGTCTTGTGCATGTCCTTGTACATCACCTTCTCGTTGAATATCACATCTCTGCACCTGATCACCTTCTTGTTTTCGTTGTCCCAAATGCGGTAGCCGAACTCATCTTCACCATACCCGATGAATGTGCATTTCTTAGACTTGGGATCAGGCTCAATCCTGCCTTGATCACTTATATGCACATAAGCTACACAACCGAAAACTTTGAGATGTGAGAGGGTTACCTCCTTTCCGCACCATACCTCTTCTGGTATTCTGTGCTCCAATAGAACCGATGGACCTCGGTTGATCAAGTAAGCTGCTGTGTTGACTGCTTCTGCCCAGAACTGCTTCGGTAGACCTGACTGCATCCGAATGCTTCTGGCTCTCTCTGTCAACGTTCTATTCATGCATTCAGCCACACCATTGTGCTGAGGCGTGCCGGGCACAGTCCTCTCCATTCTGATACCGTGCTCATAGCAGAACTTCTTGAATCTGGTGTCTTCATACTCACCACCATTGTCTGATCTGAGTTTCTTTACCCTCAAACCGGTCTCATTCTCGACCATGGCTTTCCATCTTCTGAAAGCCTCAAACACTTCTGATTTTTTCTTCAGAAAGTAGACCCATACTTTCCGAGAGTGATCATCAATAAAAGTCACGAAGTAGTGTTTCCCACCAATCGACGCGGTGGTTGTTGGTCCTCAAACATCCGAGTGAACGAGCCCTAGCTTCTGCTTCCTAGGGGGTCTGCCACTTGTCTGAAAGCTAACTCTCTTCTGCTTTCCAAGTATGTATTCTTCACACACATCAATCTCTATTGATTGTAAACCTGGGAGTTTTCTCTTTGTGTGCATAACCTTCATCCCCTTTTCACTCATATGACAGAATCTCTGGTGCCACAGCTTTGAAGTCTCATTGCCTGCCGCAACTGAGATTAAACAATGTGCACCTGCTGTCATATACAGGGCATTGCGCCTTTCGAAATCCTCCAATCATCACTATGGAAAGTCATCGTGTAGCCTTCACTAGCCAGCTGGCTTACTGAGATTAAGTTCCTCTTCAGGTCGGGAATATACCTGACATCCTTCAGCTCCCATACTGACCCATTCAGCTTAATCTTCACTACACCTTTGCCAATAATGGCACATGCTTGATCGTCACCAAGATATACATATCCAAGGTTTCCGGGGATATACTTCTCGAGGAATTCTTTCTGAGAAGTAGCATGAAATGATGCTCCCGAGTCCAACACCCAAGACTCCTCCTTGCTCTCCAAAGAGCATATCAGCGCATCATCTCCTCCTGAGGTGGAGGCAACGTTCACATCTGCATTTGCCTCCCACTCCTCCCGTGCACTCCTGCACTGATTTTTGTAGTGTCCGGTTTTCCCGCACTTCCAACACTCGATAGCCTTCGAACTGTTGGGATTTCTGGATTTGGATCTCCTATCATCTGATCCATTTTCTCTGGTTGAACTTCTACCTCTTGACTCTGTATGCAATAGGAAGAGGTTGTAGCTTCACCCGACTCTCTCCGTCGGATCTCCTCACTGAGAACCAGATCACGAACGTCGTCAAACTTCAACCTTTTCTTTCCCGACGAGCTACTCACTGCCGTGACTGTAGCGTTCCAACTCTCTGGCAGGGAAGACAAAAGTATCAACGCCTGAACTTCCTCATCAAACTCAATGTCAACTGAACTCAATTGGGTCGTGACTGTATTGAGTTCATTGAGATGATGTGCTACCGATGCACCTTCCGCCATTCGCAGATTAAACAACCGCCTCATCAAATGGACTTTATTTGAGGCTGATGGCTTCTCATACATATTTGAGAGTGCTGTCATAAGATCTGCCGTGGTCTTCTCCTTTGCAATGTTAAAAGCAACATTGCGGGTTAACGTCAAACGAATAACCCCGAGGGCTTTTCTGTCCAGAAGATTCCAATCTTCTTCCTTCATACCCTCCGGCTTCTTCCCCGAGAGAGGTTGATACAGATTTTTCTGATACAGATAATCCTCTATCTGCATTTTCCAGAATCCGAAATCTGATCCATCAAACTTCTCTATTCTCACCTTTCCCTCATCTGCGGCCATGGCTCCCACTTGAATCTGACTTCCTCTAGATCGTTTCACGCTCTGATACCAGTTGTTGGGAATCTAACGCTGAAACCCCTAATACAACAGAAACGCAGTATAGAGAACAGTACACCAAGATTTACGAGGTTCGGCAACTGCCTACGTCCTCGGGAGCCACACAGTAAACCCTAGGGTTTTGGGGGGGGGTTTATAGGCGGAATTGACAGGCTGGCGACAGCCTGTCGCCAGCGGTTGCTCGGACGCGAGGGTGGGATGCCGTGACGCGAGCGTCGGAGTTTCAAACGCGGGGGTCGAGCCGCTCAACGCCGAGGGTCGCGTTCGCCAATCGAGGGTCGCGTTCGCCAATCGAAGGTCGCGTTCTCCACTTTCGAGCTCAACTGCTCGAGCCCGCCTGCGCCATCCTGGAGCTCGTCGGAGCTCCTCCGCCGTCGGAGGTTGGTATCCACCTTCAACCTAACAGAAATTTTCTAAATAAACACATTCCCAATTTTATTCTCAAAATTCGACTCTATTCAAACTTTATTAAAAATTGACCCACTTTCTCGCCACGTCAGTATTGTGGCTAGAAAGTGGGTCGATTTTTTTTAAGCGCAATCTAATTAATCGGGTTGGCAACCCCGACTATTTTAAACCCCGCCCAGAATTTGGCAATTAAATTAGTCGGGGTTCGAAACCCCGACTAATTTAGCACATATTTAAATTTGTCAGGGTTGGGAACCCCGACCAATTCGAAATGCCTAATTCGAAATGGTCAGGGTTCCCAACCCCGACCATTTCATTTTGTTTGCAAACGTTAAACAGTTCTCATCGTGTTTATTAAATAAGTGTAGTCAACTAGTCAACTCCTTTTTCCCTTTTCCTAGGTTTGAAACCCTTTGAATTCTTTTACGTAATATATAATACTTTAATAATACTAGATACTATTCATTAGTGCTATGTGAAAGTACTAGAGAAAGAAAATTACAGTGTGTCTGAAGTATATGATAATTTAAGAAAGAAAATGTGCGCTTGAAATAAAATCAGTGAAGTGGTGAACTGGCAGGGTGCTTGCTATTGTTGGCGATTGCTCTGCTTATATATGTACTTTGATTGATTTAGTTAGTGGTAAAGTACTATTATGTTGGGTACTCATGTAAAGGTGGGAGCGGCTCCTACAAAATAGAGATACATTATTTATTGATGTTGAATAAAATGAAATGGTCAGGTCAGGAACCCCGACCATTACGAATCAGGCATTTCGAAATGGTCGACACTCCCAACCCGACAAATATAAATATGTGCTAAATTAGTCGAGGTTTCGAACCCCGACTAATTTAGCTGCCAAATTATGGGCGGTGTCCAAAGTAGTCGAGGTTGCCACCCGACTAATTAGGATCGCGCTTAAAAAAACGATCCATTTTCTGGGGCACGATGCTGACGTGCTGAGAAAGTGGGTCGATTTTCGTAATAAAATTTGAATAGGATCGAATTTTGAGAATAAAATTATGAATGAGTTTATTTAGAAAATTTATTCATAATTACACTGTAGAATAAATTTTATTTAAAAAAAAT